GAGAGACTGAGACAACCCTGAGAGAGAGGTGACCCAGAGGGAGACAACCCGGAGCAAGAGAGAGCACTTCTGAACAGATCCTCATCTATATAGTGGGCCTGATGTGCATAATATGGAATAGACCATTGGACAATTTGGGTCTCAGTCCTAATACTAGGTTAGTAATTGGGGCTGTGCTCCCTCCCAGCTTCTCCTGCACAGCAGAGAAGCTGAAAAGTCCTTGACTGTCCTGGCAGCAACTATAAACATCAGTATGTTATCAGCCTTCTTCTCAGCACAAATCCAAAACACAGCCTCTTACTAGCCACTATTTAAAGAAAATTAACTCTATCTCAGCTAAAGCCAGGACAAAAGGCCTCGCCCTGGAAGCTGATGATGGCCCCATTTCAATGTACCTTGCTTTCATTTTTCTTTGCAGAAGCTGTTGTGTGACAACCTTCCCCTTATCATGCCGTGAAACTCTGTCCTGGGTTCAATGGAACCCTGTGGCCCATGCTTTGAGACCTTGACATCAATCAAGTTGGTTTTTTGCTTCTTAGTCCTCAACAAGGAGAAAAGCACTTTCAACTGCATGTCAGTCTCTCTTCTTTCAGCTGGTGTTTTTCTAGCTTTTTTTAAATGGAAAAAATTACAGCAGTGTGCTATTTTGTCTCCCTAATCTGACTGTTCCAGTGATAGAGTTACATGTATTCAGGAACTCACCATTGCAAGCGATACTTCTAAGGACTGTGCTGGGATTCCACATGCCCCTTGAAAGCAGCAAATTCACTTTTGAAGAGGCCTCCCTAGAAGCTTGTTCATCATAAAGGAGAGAGTTTGAAAATTCAGTGGAAAATAATTTTTAGATTTTTCAGGATTCTAATAATTCAGGCCATGAATTATTTACGATGTAGAAAATAAGTTTATGTTGACTTGACGTACTTAGGAGGCAGGAGTTGTAAAATACATTGTTCTAGCAGAGGAATAGTACCAGTTAATTTATTAAAGGTATGTCACTTCTGCTAAATGAAAGTTTAAAAAGAAGCAATCTAAATGTACAGTTGTCTGTCAGCAGCTATTCCAGGTGCAAAGATGTGGATTTTTCATTGTTATACCCTAACATGCACAAAGCATGTTAAGGGATCCCCATCGCCTGCACAAAGCATGAGCTTTGGTGAAGTTCGATAAGACTCATAGAGGAACTCGGGCTTTGTACTGGTCCTATACATAATGCAGTTTCACCCAGAAAAAAAATCAGCTACAAAAGTGGGAAAATTGTAAGATGGGAAAAGAGACCACCAAACAGCAAAATCATTCAAGAGGTTGCCTACATTAGGGAGCAAAAAGTGTTCTGGATGGGTTTCACTTTGAAAATGTAACTTGAAAGACTTGGAGAAGCCAAAAAGTAACTGCACAACCTGAAAACTATTACATTACAGTTGCTCCTTTCTGAATTTCACTTTAAATGACCTGTCTTCCTATAGTAGGACATCACATAGTCAGAGACTGTAAGATTAGGGTCTCTAGAAAAAGCTGGTGGACTCTACGCGTTAGTAAATCTAGGTAGCTGATTGATGGTATGTGGTGTTAATGACAACACTGTAATTTTTCTAACAACAGAATTTACTTCGAGGTAAGTAGATTATCTTTCTTTAAGCTCAGACAGGAAGACAGATAACTAGAAAAATATGTAGCTAGGTGTTCAACGAAAAACATTAGAACTGCTTTTGACAGCTGTCAGCCCATCATTCTCATCTACACATTGCTATACATCAGTTTATCTGTTCTTAAATGTAACTTAAAAATACTATACGAGAAGATTTTTCTGAGGCCCATCTGGAAGGGTCTACGAGATCTTTTGTAGAAATTGCAATGATGAAGATATTCAAAGCTATGTTGTTTCTGGTACATGATAGCTGGAGAAAAAATTTTCGTAGAAATAAATATTTCTTCAGATAGTCAGCATGTACTTTGAGCCCCTGGTACACCTGTTTCGTCAGACTGATTACTTTCATTCTTGCAAATTTGCCTGTACATCTGCAAAGTAATGTTTTAGTTACATAGGCTTTCACATATGAAGTGACTGACATACATTTTTTTTGAACATTAATTTTCTGGAGCATCAACACACAACTGGGCTGTGACATGCGTGTGCTAATAATTGCCTGGATACCTTGAAGCTCAAGAAGGTGCATTATGTTCTGGGTTATTCCAGTAGATAATAGTTTTTCTGGGCTGTGACTGCATTCAGTCTAGCAGCACGTCTTTGAAAATACAGACTATGAAGACCATATTTTTGTCAATGTGTTCCTGGTCCTTCTATCTGCAAACCTCTGCTATAAAGAAGTCACCGTCTTAATGTGCTGTTCTAGTGCAGACCAAAGTGATGGCAGGGAACATAACTTCTACATCAAAGATAGCCCTGCTCTGCCTGTGTCAGTGTACTCACTGAACCGAGCATTGCTCATGTTCAGTCCTTCTGCACTACTTTAATTTTTTAAAAAAACAACATATTGATTTTATTTTCTGCCAAGAAAAAATTCTGAGCACAGCAAAATGGATACCAGAGAACAAAATGACAATTCTTATAGTGATTGAATAACTTTTTTTGCTCCTGGAAAAAATAGTAGTATCCAAAAGTTGTCAAAACTTGTCATATTTGAATCTGCAGTTGTGCAAATTACATACAGAATTTTTAAATTGTTATAGTATTTCAGTAAATTTATAGGCTTTCTATTTAAAATGAGCTTTGATTAATGTGTGCTATAAACCTAACTTGAAAAAATTACTTATTCTGCCCATTTGAGTACTAATCACAACTGCCTATATAAAAAATGGAGAAAAGCATCCCCTGCAAAGAGTAGTGTAAATTCTTAACTAGTTGTTCTCCCAAGGTATGGATGAATGGAAAAAAATGCAGTCAAAGTGGTCTAACAATAGGTGACTTTTTACAGAGCTCTTTTCCTTGAGCATCAGCCAGTGAAATATATCTGTGTACATAAATTAATATCCTTTGTAAACAAGAAATTTGTTTTGAGCCAGTGTAGGGGGTGAAAACATTTTACTAGACATCACAATGTTCAGTTATATCTTGTCCGGAAATTTTACTATTTACAGACAAGTCATCATGTGACTTTTCACAGTATGAAATTAATCACCCTGACTGTTAAAAAAATAAAAGATTAATTGGTTTTATGTAGTGTTGTATCATTTATTGTGGTAGCTGTTAAAAATAGATAACCAGAGGCTAATAGATGTTAATGATCCCTTTCACTGTTAAAAAAAATCAATGTTTCTTGGATACAGAATATCTTAATGCGTTCTTTTGGTTTAAAAGTGTTTGATTTGAAAATACCCAAACTAATAAGACTGCATTTACAAATCACCTTAGTTTTACCAACACTTGAATTTTCATGTCAAGTTTGATAAATACTTTCTCTGCAAATTAACCATGCACTTCAAGAAAGGAGAAGACTGGGCATGTTACTACTTGTCTTCCAATAAGAGAAACAGATACTCAGCATTTATTTTTTTCTTAAAAAATTATTTTATGTATGTTCACATAACTTTCTAAGGACCATATCATCTAGGTTAAGTAACCTTTCCACAGCTGTTATATATTTCTTTCAAACTTGTGGAGAGCAGTTAGATTTTCAAATGTAAATAATTAAAATTGTGAGCTATTGAGTTATTGACAAACACCGAGCTATAAATCAAGCTAAAAAATTCTACAATCAGGGTTCAGTGCTCTGAAGCACTGTAAAATAATAGTATTTGTGTTCAGTGATGCAAGTAGCCACAATTAAGCAGTTCACTTGACAAATGAGATAGTTCACTTTATTTTTCACTTAATTGAATTGTACATGCTTGGTCACCATTGTCTCCTTCCCTGTAGTTTTGGTTTCTAGCCATTTAAACATACACATTTATTAAAAAGAGAGCAATTTCATTGGTGTTGGCCATTGGCTCTAGAAATGCAGACATCAAGAGCTGTACCTTAAAATGTTGTGCAGGGTAAAAATCACTACTAGCCCTCCAGAAAAATTCTTAATTTTCTTAACAAAAAGTCCAATGAGCATCTAGGACTGTCACTAACTTAAATCAAATGTGAAAAGGAAAAAAACCCTGAAGGATGTTGATATTAAATCACTTGTACCAAAAAGAAATATATAGACATTGTTTCTTCACAGTTTATTTTAGTTAGCAATGATTTTGCATTTCAGCAGTCCTGTCTCACCTTGCTGTCTTGTGTCCTTTTTTTTCTATGTTTGCAGTCTGTTTGTTGTGATTCTGAATTTGTAACATATCAGTCAGTTTTGTTTGTTTGTTATGTTTGTGTTTAACAAACTGTAGTGCTGAAAATCTGAGTTCTGGATTTCATTTCAAGATCACACAAAAAAAAAGCATTTTCCATCTGGGTGGGAGAAACATGTTAATTAAATACAAATATTTTCAATAGCAGTGAGGAAACAGAAAGGTAATTGAAATATGGTGGTTATTTTTTTCCTATGTTTCATTGAAAAATGTGATTTCAAAAACCCAGATTCCTCCAAAGCAATATGAGGAATTTAATTGTGAACAGTCACAGAATACACCTAGGATACAGGTATAACAATCAGACATGCATTTGTAGGTAAGACTGTAGCTGGCACCAACAAAGGATTTTGTCAGTCCTTTAGCTCTGACATGTGAGGAGTTTTTTGTGACTGAGGAGTACCACGGTGAGTTTGGGAGAAATAAGGCAGGCATGTGTTCTGTGGTGCAGGCTCACTAGCTTGCTGAGTTATGTTTTGTGGGACATGATGCCCATAGGCTCTCAGACAATTCCTGCACAAGCATTTCGCCTTTGCCAAAGAGGTCATGAATTTTTGCATATGTGTCTCCCAAGAAAGTCCCAGAGAAGTGCACCCTGCAGTTCTCTTTGGAAATTACTGGGAAGACCAGATGTTCCTCCCCGCATGGCCTCCGGCTCACATCAGTAGAAAGCACTGATGGCACAGTGTTTCTCTTTCCCATTGCAGGCCCTACCAGTGTGGACACTGCTCCCAGTCTTTCTCCCAACCTTCAGAGCTGAGGAACCACGTGGTTACGCACTCCAGCGACAGGCCTTTCAAGTGTGGCTACTGCGGTCGTGCCTTTGCTGGTGCCACAACCCTCAACAATCACATCCGGACACACACTGGGGAAAAGCCCTTCAAGTAAGTACTTGAAGCCAGCAGCCCTGGCCAGCTGACGCTAGAGAGGGACATGCGTCACTGCTATTCATTAGAATCACCGGTCCTTGCCATCTCATGGCAGAGGTTTTCCTTGAAAGCCAAGGTCAGACCTCCAGATAAATCCATTAATGATGTAGTTAAAATCAGAATTAAACCAGGCTTGTTTTCGGACACCTTGCAAGCACTGGGCAATTTTCTCTCCTCCGATGAGAACTTGGTTGTTTCAGTTAGGTAACAAGCTGCTGCCCAAGAACCATAACTGAAAATACACTCAAGACTGGGACAGGCTATACTGTAAGAAGATTAATATGATTCTTTGATGTCTATATGTTGAAGGAGACGAAGATTCACAGAAAAGCTAATTTGGATCTGATTAAATATTGGGGAGAAATATGTATATGATTTTAGTCTCAGAATCACTGCATAGAAAACACAGCTCTGGCTTGTAGCATGTTTTGAAAGCTAATAATAAATTGCTAGTGTTCAGCTGTCCCAGATATATAAAAGAAGAGACACTTGATCGAGATAGTTTTTAATTAAACAGACTGTTTTTTTCTGCAGTCTCTGTTTACTGAAATTAAAGCCAAGCATACACCCGAAGCAGAATATTTCCCTCTGTGTTCACCTCCAGCCATAGCACAGCTGATCTAGGTGAATTTTACCTTCTGTTTTTCTGCTGAACAGCAGGTGTTTTCCAAGACAGAATACAAGTTTTCCATATTTGTATCTGTGTCTTTGCTGAACAGACCAGCACAAATTTAATGGATATTGTACCCGGAACAATCCCACTTAGGAAGAAAAATAATGTATTGATATCAATGTATAACGTATTGATATCACTTCTTTTGGAAGCTACTTGATGTTCCTAGGGGAATGGGAATAAGTGTAGAAGAAGGTGTGTGTCTCTCCCGGTTCTCAAAGGACTGTCTGTCCTCCATCTGCTTTTCTCCATTTGTCTTTCTCTACTGCTTTTGCCGTACTGTGCTCTCGGTCTGGTTAATGTAAAAGAGCTCAGCCATGGGGCCTGTCAGAACCCCTCATAACAAGCTCAGTAGAGATACCAGTAGAGATGCTTTGCCTCCATATATGGTTGAAAGGAAGCATAGCCTCCATACGTGTCTCTGCTGGGGGCAAGGGGACAGAGCCAGGAACCAAAAGCTGCATATCCGCTACAAAAGAGCTTGCATACCAGAAATCATGGCTGGGATAGTGTTGTAGGTGGCAAAACACAGAAACTCACAGCATCTAAACACAGACTCCTCTGGAACCAGTGTGTTGAATGTTCAGAGCCTGTAGAAAGTGAGCCAAAAATAGCACGAGCCATCAGATTGATTTTATCTAGTTGCTGTGTAAATAGATTTTAGTAATTAATGGAAGAGGTTTCCGGGTCAAAATGGAAAATAGATTTCTTTTAATGTTAAGGTGTTACTTATGTGTAACCTTGTTGACTCCACTTAATTTTTTTCCTTAACATCCTGTTTTTGTCATGTTTCCAATAGATCTGCTATTTTGCCCCATTTAGAGTCATTATTAATTTTTCCCCTTTGATTTAGTAATTTTTTTCCCCTTTTCCAAAATGGTCTTGACTACAGCACAGTTTCATTTTTGAAAGGGCCTAATGTATGTACTACAATTAACCAGTGGTCTGGGATTTGTCTGTTTGTTTTGCTCTGCTTATGCTAAAGTATTTAGTAGGCCAGAATGTATCTGCTCATTCATAAAGGTGCAGGGCAAAGCAACAAAAATTGTGGATGCTTTGTATTGCTTTTTTATGGTGCACGGCATAATTTCATTCTTGTAACATTTTTATTTAGTTTCTTCCTTAAACTCAAGAAACAGTAGTACTAGTTTCTCTCTGGAACACTTGTTGAAGTATTTGCAGTAAGCTGACTAGTAATTTCACATGAAGCTAAAACTGGAGTGCAGATCTTCCAATCCCCTGCTAGTCAGATAAGGGGACACATGCCCTGATCCTGCAAGCCATTCAAAAGGGTAGATTCACCTCCATCAGGACTGCTTCCATTTGAGAGGTGGGGCAGAAAACTTATCCAGAAATTGATCCACCCTCTCTGCTGGAGGAAAAAGAGATAGCTGCAGGTCATCTTGATGTCTCATTGCCATTTAGATACTAGTTTGAAAAGGAGAGGTCCACGACCTGGTTTTAAGCTTAGGAAAAAACCTCAACAAATTCTATTAAGCAAGAACCATAAATGGGTCAAACAAGATTTCCGTCTCTTGGTCGTGCAGTTTAGGTTATTAATGTTTGTTTACAAAGGGATTTTGAGTGTACACTTACTCCCCTAAAAATGCAAAATGGAAAAGTCCATTGAGATAGGGTTTCTGTACCCCAAAAAGGTCTATATTTGTGGCAATGTACTTCTGATGAATAATATTTTTGCTATTATCAAGAACAACCGTGCATGGATAATGCTAAATTTCTTAAATTCCAGCTAAGTTATTTTGAAAATAACCAGCATAATTTTAAAGGTATTACTAAATTCAGATTCATAGGTGAAAACAGGGAACTGGACAGTTAACTTGCATCTACTGTGAATGCAAACTCATTATTTCTAATGCAGTAAGGTGGTTACATTTGTAAGTGGCATTTGGACAAATTAGTGTTCATGGATTAAGCAGGCAATGTCAAACACTAAGTGTATGTTTTTATGCATATTATTTTCAGAAGGTGGTTTTAAAAACAGTGAACGTACAGCGACAGTATTTAAAAATATTTCATATTGTTACTTAAGAGGAAGCCTGCGATTGGCTAAAAAAAGCTTTTTCAGTGAGAAGGCGCTTTCTTTGTAAGTCCTAGGTAACTTTGGCTGTATGGTGGAAGACTATTCTATTTGCTTTTCATTACAGATAACAATGCTAAGTGAGGTTATCTGTAGTCAAAGCTTTAGCTGCGTTGCCTAGACTGCAGGTCCAGTTAGAAGGGATTTCTTTTCATGTCATCACAAGCTATCAAGTCAGCCTCACCACTGTAAAGCTTTTGTGTATTCTTATCTTACTGAAGTCTCCACTATGGCTGCTAGTCTGGGAACAAGGCTCTTAGGCAAATTAAAAGCTAGGAGAAAAAGGAAAATTATTTGCCATTCCTGTTCTCTTAAATTCTTCCCCTCCAGTCTCTTCCGTTTCAGCAAAACTGAAGTTAGATTAGATTATTCTGGTTGACATGGTGGTTTTCATTGTTTCTTGCTGAAATACAAAACTGGGGAACATTCATTTCAGGTTGAATATAGATGTGACATTTCAGCTTTGTCCTGTGTTTTAGGTTTTGTAAACCTTTTCAAATTATTTTAAAAATCAGTGTTAAATGCAGGTCTTGAATGAAATCTTTAAATGTTTATTTTGATAATATCTAATGAAGATATTTTTTCCTAAATTAGACCTCCAGCATTTTCTTCATCCAAAGCCTTTCACAGAGGTTGACATGAACTTGGGAATTAAACCAATCCTGTCTATAATCCTCAATGTCAGTGTTCTGAAAGCACTGTGAAGCAAACAAGCAGACCAATGGCAGTGAGGGCTATCGAAACAAACTCAGAAAACCCAGCGCCTTAGAAATATCCAAAACCCATGGATGTTCATGTTGTTTGTGAATTTTGTTTACAATCCCCACCAAAGCAAATCACATAAGGAATCCTTGTGGTAGAATGAAGTCTTGCGTTTGATGGAGTTGAGTGTTGTAGTACAACATTGCTCCTTACAGTTAAAATGAAGGTACACACACACATTGTGAAAAAATATAACATGGATCCATTTTTCACTGAGGGCATCTAATTATGTGAGGACTTTTAAACTGCTTCTTTGGATCTACGCTGTGTCAGGGGCTGCTTAAATCACTCTCAAATGCCATCAAATGGCTTAAGTGGAAATTCAGTGGTCTTTCAGTTAATATGTATTATTATCGCCAATACTTCTGTCTACACTTAAGGCTTAACCACAAATTTGGTGTATGTCTAATAGCCAGGCTCAGCTCCATGGTTACTTAGTGAGTGGTTGCACAAGTGGACTTGTTTCTCTTTCTGACTGTTTTGGCTACTGTTGAACCTTCCAACACAACATTAAACATGTATGTCTTATATTATAGAAACACACACACACAAAATCGCACACACACATTGACACAGGTCATCACAGTGGTTATTCTGCTACAAGAGGGTGGGAAAGGATAAAGAGTACATCATAATTAAAAAAAAAAAATTTATTTCCTGCTTTTCCTCCCATTCCTACCTACCATGAGATAGCTATGCTGACTGCTATGACACTCTACTCTCTTCGCATCCTTTCCTACCAGTTTGTAACCAGCAACAACTTCTCTTGACCACACTGGGAAGAGGAGTCCGGGCCCTAACACAGGTACTTAATATATCCAGAACTCTAGTCGTGAAAACACCATCCGCACTCTTTGCAAGTGCCTAGAAAGTGCTAGGCACATTGGGCACTATCTGAAGGTTACTGGGGTATATGAGAAAGCCAGAGGAATTTTAGGTGCTTTGCCAAAGGCCATATTCTGACCTTTGCCCAAGGGCTGTATAGTGCAGACAGCACAACCTGACCAGCAGGAACACTTGGCACTCACATGACTCCCATACAAAGGGCAGATGCTTGTAGCAAGAGATTTATTCTTTTCTGGTCTCCCTTTAGCATCCTTCTTTCTTGTGTCTGTATGAAAGTGTCCCAGAAGAGTCTGTAGCTAGGAAGTTAGAGTACTCACATGGCAGAAGAAGCTTGTAGATAAAGGATGGGAACTTGCATTTTAAAGGAATACAGTGAGTCTTGCTCTATCCTTTCAAGAGCAATGCAAGGTTCTGAGTTAATACTGTGCACAGCCCTAGCCTCCCAGGCAAGCTCCAGAAAGGGTAAGGACGTCTGCCACAGCTTCATGGCCAGCAGTTTTTAACCCTAACCCTAACCCTAACCCTAACCCTAACCCTAACCCTAATCCTCACCTTACAGTCTTTCTCTGATTCACATATTGTCCCCTGGGTATCCTGATATAGTATATATCATTTATTTGGATAGGTACTTAGAAGTCAGGTGTTGCTACACCTGCTTTTGTAGGTTATTTTGCAACTGTACCACTTACAGCTTGGTTAGGCAAGGATCCAAGCCTTCTGTTACTCAGCAAGCAAAATGCTTCTCTTTGTAGACTTCAAAATAACAAAACTAGATGGCAGTATCTCATACAGACTAAGTTAACCCCCCAGCCTTAAAATTGATTCTAGTGCCTCTGTGACAGATATATATATATATATACACACATATAAAAATAATACAATAATTTGCAAATTTGTCAGGCAATGAAAGGTAGTATATTTTGACACACTAACCCAGTAACTAATCAGTTTTCTAATAAACAATCAGCAGTACACTAATGTATCATCAGCACTTCAGGAGCTCTGGAGAGTGGATGATCTGCACATAGATGTTAATGAATACCCCAAAAATCATTAAGTAATCAATACTTCTGAGTTATTTTCATTGAGCTGATAGGTCTGATACATTAAAGCTGACATTTTACATTTGTCAAGATCACAGTGCAGTTTTTAACAGTGGAACAGGCTGCTAAAAATATTCCATGAAAGACAATCAAAGAAACACAACTTAAAAGTGTTGACATTTTAGATTGGTACAGTAGCTTGGATGAATGACTCTGTAATGTCTGTCCTAAATGTTCCTGACGCAGAAGTTTCTTACTAAAAATTACTAATACAAAGAACATTTCACAGTTACGCATATGAGTAAATATTTTCCTTTTCTCTTTTTTTTTTTTTGTTTGTTTTGTAAGCAGCTAGATCAGTGACAGTTCGCTTTCTATCGTTCACATCAGTGAAGAGAGAAAGATGAATATGAATTAGCTGAGCCCTTTGTTTTCCTCACTTCTCCTTTGAAGGTGAAGAATTCGTTGTAGTGATACCTTTATGATAATCTTCTTTGAAGATAAAATATCACACAGCACCATTAAGTCAAAGGTGGCTTTTGGAACGAGTGGCACACAAGAAGAATCTGCTGCATCTGTATTTGTGACTCATCAAATGCCTCTATCTAGTGCTCAGAATGCAAATTAAGAGGGCGGTATTTGGGAGATTAAATACAATAGATTCTCTTTTAGAGCAGGGATAGGGGATTCATTCCAAGCTAGTAATAACCCCCTTCCTGCCCCCTCCAAAATCCAATGGCTTTGTTCATTCATTCACACATTATTTTTTTGTTGCAGATTATGGTTCTCTAAAGAGAGGACAGGGTAGAAAGAGCGACAGCATAAAAGACAGAGAAGCAAACACTGGCGACTGGATGAGTTCTTGCTCAACCCACAGATTTCTCAAATAGTGTGAATGTTTTCAGATAATTAAGTAACCACTAACTCTATGTGCCTATTTAAAATGAACCCCCCTGCATAGCCAGATCAGATAAACAAAGAGTTTTCTCTTGTTCTAGCACTGAATGATTATTGCTTTGTGATTTCTCTTCCTCCAGTAGGCAATTGTGGATTTTAAATTAGCAGAAGGTGAAATTCTATTTGTCATCAATTTCTCCTAGGGGTTACAGAGCAGAAAACTGCAGACAAGCTGCTTCTTTGATGGCTCACTCTTAAAAATCTCTTTTTGTTCTTTATCTATTTGAACTGACAGTGATCAGAGCTACAGCAGGACAGGCCTCTCTGGAGAAATCACCTTCCCCCTGTCTATTGACAGATTCCTCTGTTCTGAATCAGACAGGCCTTGTCCCATCATAGGCATCAAGGCCTTGGAAGTAGCCACCAATTAAACCTCTTGAGCCAGTAAAATCTGAAGCCACTTTTGAGTGTCTGTTCTGATTAGGCAGGATGAGACAAAGCCCATCACCCCCCCACCCCAGAGCGGCTCCCTGGTCTCAATTTTCTCTCTTGCCTTCACCAGGTGCGAGAGGTGTGAGAGGAGCTTCACACAAGCCACCCAGCTGAGTCGACACCAGAGGATGCCCAATGAGTGCAAGCCAATAACAGAGAGCACAGAATCAATTGAAGTGGATTAACTGATTGACTGGTTGGAATTAAACTGCAAGGAAAGTCATGATTAAATGTCACGGACACTTAAGCAAAACCAAAGATTTCCTCTGAGCAACTTTCAATCAGTCCCAGAAAACCAAAAGCAGTAATAAAATAAGTAAGATGTTAAGAGATATTGATCCTGGCGTGGAAGTGAGACCAGGAAAGAGATTATTTATTTATGACTGGGGATGAGTCTTATTTCAATTGACAAGTTACTTGGGACTGTTAACTTTTCAAGTCCCACCATGTATTGCTTTAATTCTAAAAGCCTTTATAATTGTTATTTAATGCCAAAGGGAGGAATCTCAAGGGTTCTTCTGCCCATAGTTATGACTGAGAATGCACATGGACTTGTTTATTGTTGCACCTTTTTTTGTAGCATGACTCAAAGGACCCAAATGTAATCCATAGGTTTGGCTGGGCTGGGCTAAGTAGATCTTGATATTGGCTATAATAGAAATTGCTCTGTGGAATGGGAAGTGATCAAGAGCTATATCTAGTTCAGTTTCAGCCTCCTCAGACCAAAGGGCATTTCATTTCTGTAGTCTCATGCCTCACACTGTGTGCACTTTTTCATGCAAGTAGTTTCATTCAATAGCATTGCGTTGGCACAGATATTCTGGGGGGGAGGGAGGGGGGAAGGTACGTTGTATATCTGCAAATATACATTATATAAGAAGCCAGTAGGAAAACTATGTTAAACTAATAGGGCTCTCAAGTTCAGTCTAATAGCTATAAAAGACAAAGACACTAGAAAGTATTTTAAATATTTAAGGTTCCAGTCTACATGTAAATTGTATTATGAGGAGTGAAAAACCAAGATGAGTTTTTTTGTTTGGGTGATTGGTTTAGTAGCTTGCTGATTTCTAGGAAAACTGATCAGAACTCCAAGCTGTAGTCCATTGGTATTTTTACTCTGTTGGTTTGGATCAGATTGAAAATGCTCCTGTATCAGATGAAACTTTCAACATACTTGGGCTGAACTTCAAAACAAAAGCTAAATCTGAACTCAGATACTTTGTAAATGGCTTGAAGGCTTCATAGGATCCATTTCATGGAAACTTGCCTGGTATGATTGTGAATGAAAGGAAGCCAAAATGTTCCTAACAACAATGTAAAAAGCTCAGATGTCATTACATTGATTCAAGGTAACAATTTCTGTATTGGCTTTTTCCAAGCTTTTATGCTTGATGTATTTCAGATTTCATGATTTTATCTAATCAAATATTGGGTTTCACTTTTAGAGACCAGCATTTTTTGTTTATCTATTGATTGTCTCAATGCTAGAGCTGTAGTTTGATAAAAATAAAAAAAAAAATCACAAAAAAAACCCCACCACCACCACCACCAAGAAGCAAAACCTAAATAGTTCTGAGGTCATGCTATATCATAAGGTAAAACTGCAAAATAAATTTATGGAGATTATGGGGATTAAAACATTCATTCAGTTTTGCACCAAAACTGAAGTGCTGGGTGGCTCATAAGGGCTCAGTTGATTATATTAAATATTTTTAAAACATTTATGGGGATGATTTTAAATATTTAGAGAATTAAGTATTCAACTCTGTAAAGGGCTAGACAGAATCAGCTACAATTTTAATAACAGGTTCAGATCATTTATGAATTCTGAAAGAGCTGAAACAGAAAAAGAGCATACAGTAAAATTAAAATACATTTAAAAGGAATTTAAAAGCTAAGACTTCCTTACTTCAGGATGTTTGTTTATCATATTGCAGAAACTACACTGCAGAATCTGGAGTTTCCAAAGCTTTACAGGGAATTACTACAGGAATTACTATCTTTGTGTTTGGCCATTAAAAACATAAAACTGTGGAAAAAATAATTTTTTATCATTGTTCTAGCAAGTACCAGATTATATCATAAAGAGGCAGAGGCTTCGGCCCTGTGAGTTTTTCAGCTCTGTTTCTCAGTGCGGAGATATTGTGAACAATTCTGTCATCACTTGCCTGATTTTATCCTCCAAGATAGGAGAGATTCTTAGCTACTCTATAAATATATGTTTGTTTGTTTGTTTGTTAGGTTCAAAGAAGTATGGAAAGCTGGGTAGGAAGAATTGTATCTTAAAGGTGACCATTTGAACATTGTTGTGTTCCTAGCAAGGCTGGTCAAACAGAAAAAACAAAAATCTGATCCTAAACCTTTCAGACCCTCACATCTGCTGGTTCACACCCTCCCTTATTTAAGAGACTTAATAATGTAAAGTGATGTCTTGGTGGGACACTAGCTTTTAGTTAACGTTTGAACAGCAGCTGTAGATAATTTCTGCAAGCAAATGATATTCTCACCAAAAAAATATCAGAAATTTATAAATAGAGTAAGTGGGAAAAGATATACATCATCCTCTGAAAAGCAAATGTGAGCTATCTGTTAGGTCACTGACGTGTGCTGTTGCATTATCTAACTGTGCTCTCCCTGTTCAGGGATGTGATCAGTGGTAGTGCAGAGCACTCAGCCTCTTGCAGAAAGGGATTTATATTGAATCCTATAATACAAATAGCACTTAAGTATGTGCTTACAGATATTGCAAGTTCCCTGCTTACTCACATGTTTTTAATTAAACATATGTCTAAATATTCTGCTGAAGGGTGTGAAGTAAAGATAAATTATTTCAAGATTTACTGGATTTTTTTTTTTAAATGCTCCTGAGTAGGATTTCTGCAGAACTTAGTTTTTTCTTCCAAATAATTCTTTCTTGTGTAAATCACTATGTTGTGCCAGATGCCTAAGGACAGTTTCAGTTATTGTATAATTTTATACACAGCACTTTCACAACAGATTTGGCAGCATACAACAGCAGTTCATTGAAAACCCATTATTTCACAGTGGGTTCAACATCTGGCATTGTTACAACATAGCAAATGTAAAACTAACGTGGACTAGCTAAAATACATCCTAGGTTTGGACTAAAGAGAATCTAGTTCCTGTCTGCACTTCCCAAGCACTGAGTGAGTTTCTGTTCATATATCGACAGAACAACCGTACATTTAGGTCTGTTATGAATACAGTATGTGTTTGTACACAGTAAACTGAAGCAGTGAGTACAATTATCTTTAAATGTAGTGATTATGTGCCTGCCATTTCAGAATTTCTGAAGCACTTGGCATCTCTGTTTTGTAGTCTGGTAAATAAATACAAGCTTGTTTTTGGGTTTTTTGTTTGTTTGGGTTGCTTTGTTTTGCTTTGTTTTGTTTTGTTGTTGTTTTTGTTTTTGTTTTTTTTTTTTCTTTTTTTTTTTTCACAACCCTGAACACGTTGGAAGTCGTATTTAAGAATTGTGCCTGGTTCTTTTTTTTTAATTCAGTGTGGAATTAAATTGTATGCATTCATAGAGTTATTTCTTTCAGAAAGAAGTTAGGTCCTTTACAAACCTGCAGTTATACACCCTAAATATGATTTTTAAAATACAATGTGATTGTCTTCCCATGAAAGCTGAGTTGAGAATAATGTAATAATTACAGCACATTACATACTATAAACTTACAAGCAATGATGTGTATATCTTTTATTTTGCTAACATCATCTCTCCTTTTAATTACTATTTATTATTCATATGGTGCCATTACATTTGTGATGCTGTCTTATAGCTGACAAAATGATATGATTTCAGATTAATAAATAAGTGAAAGTCCAAAAGTAAGTCCTCATTGCTTTTGAGAGTCATCAACTGCTACATTTTTGTTTGTTTTTATTTTAAAATTACAATTAGAACACTCTTCTCTTTCATCCGAATCCTTTATGTGGATAAGATTCCAGAAAAAAAAAATGCTCTGGAACTGCATGGGGTATTTTTTTGTATTTTGTCTAGATTTTGGAAGTTTTGGCATTATCAAAGCAATTTGAAAAAGTGCATAAATCCACCCAATAGATGTACAGTATGCTGAAGAGGTCCTCTGTTGTAATAAAAATAATAATGACACTGTAATTAGAAAGGTAAACAGCTTGCTTGCATTTTTTAAACTTCATAAAATTGCATCTTTTTTACTGCAAAGGACCAATTAATCATGCATGTAGCTGTATTCTTGTGATATCAACTGTAAAGATTACATTGTGTTTAAATGGAAATAACAGTCACACATTTAAAAGAAAGACAAAGAAATGTAAATATATTTGATTAATAAAACATTTCTATTACCATATCCCAAACCTTTGTTTTATATCAAGGTTATGTATTGGATTTTGTGCATTCTATGCAGAAAACCAAATATGCTTAAATGTGTGTGTATTGAAGGCAGCTTCAAATAATCACAGTACCTTGCTGTAGTTTTCATCATAAGCTTCCAAGCTGGGTTTGCAGATTGGATGTTGCAAACTGATTTGCAGTGAGAAGAGAGTGAGCTCAAGTTCAGTTTTCTTGATGACTGGGTCTCACTGCTCCTATTAATGTAACGCTGAGAGCAAAGTGGAGGCATATGCTCAAGCAATTTCTCAACCATGTTTTGGAATTTGTTTGTAAAGGGTTATGATGTAAATCATGTTGTAACCAAGTTTTTCTATTCTGCGCACTACAGTGTGGTGTTTTTTTTTTTTTATGGATAATGGTCCAAGTCTTGTTTAGTTACCTGAATCCTGATTTACAAGGATCACCATCTAGTGGACTAAGACAGAATTTCAAATCTCCAGTTGATGTGGTGTCTGAGCTCATTTTAAAAAAATCATTCTAAAACCAAAGCTAAAAGCACTAGCCATGCTCCACTGCAAGGGACCTTCAGCACCTTTTTTAACATTATTTCACTACCGTTGTGTATGTCAAAGAGCAGCGATTAGTTCACTAAGTCACCCCTTGTTCCACTTGAAAAAATACCACTTGAGTATGAGAAAAATATGTCAGTTTCTGTCATTTTTCATGTTATATGACCTTTTACATAAGCACCAGCACCACCACGGTAGAATAATTGCGCGAAACTACTGTTCTTGAGAAAATACTCAGGTAAATTGGCCAGCAGACTGCCTGCTGGTTTGCAAG